TTGTGTCCGGGACAGCGGTATATTCGGCCAACGACCCGTCAGAGGTGATCAAACAGCTCAGGGAGGCCGTCGCCAAGAGAACAGGAAAGCTATGAAATGCTGAAAAAGGTCCTTGATGTTCTATGAATATATGCACCTTTATGACATAGACCTTGCCGTACATAGCGCATATCCAAGCGATCATTGGAAGAAAACCGGCCTGATCAAACCTACCAAAACAACATGTCCAGGACTACTTGCTTCCAAGCACCTTGCCCAACGCAGCGATGATCCCCTTCACCTCCTCAACGGTGTTGTAATGCACCATACTGATCCTCACAACCCCGTCCCTACTGTCCTCCAGCCCCAGCACCTCCTCGGCCAGCCTGACGGAGTAGAAGCTGCCCCACCGGAACCCAAAGGTCGTCTCCCCCTCCACCGTCTCGACCAGCCGCCGGCTCTCCCACCCCGCCACCCGGAAACTGACCGTCGGCACCCTCAGCGCCGGATCCGGACTGCTCTCGCCGTATATCGTCACGTCCCCCCGGCTGGTCAGGTAGCCCAGCAGCGTCTCCTGTAGCACCCTCTCCTGCTCCACGACCCCTTCCCACCTCGAGGTCCCTGCAAGATAGTCCACGACAGCAGGGATAGCGTAGACCAGCTCGTAGCTGCCCCCCGCCAGCCCGATCTTGTTCTCCAGCGTCCTGTGCGGGTTGAAGTAGTGCCCCAGACTGCCCATCTGCCCCTGCGCCTCGGCGCTGACGTACAGCATCGACACGTGGGGGCCGTAGACCTTGTACCAGCTGAAGCTGTAGGCATCCACGCCTAGATCCCTGACGTCGACGCGGCGGTGGGGCGCGTAGGCCACCGCGTCGACGCACACCAGGGCCGTGGGGTGGAGGCCGTGGACCAGGGAGGCGATGGCCTTGATGTCGTGGATGGTGCCGAGGATGTTGGAGGCGTGGGTGAGGGTTACCAGCCGCGTCCTGTCCGAGAGCAAGGGGCGGAGGTTCTCGGGGGTCAGCTTGGGGTTGGTGGAGACGGGGGGCTTCCACCACTTGACGGTCAGGTTCTGGCGTTTGGCTAGGTCTACCCAGGAGGCGATGTTGGCTTCGTGGTCGACGGCGGAGATGACTACTTCGTCGCCCGGGCTGAAGGTGAGGGTTTGCGAGAGGTTGCGGTAGAGCTGGGTTGTTGAGGAGCCCAGGACTGGATATTGAGTCAGTCTGGGTCAAAGGAGAGAAAGTTTAGGACAGAAAAGAGGAGGATAGGGCAGTACCGATCTCGTCGACCGAGGCGTTGATGTACTTTGCCGCGGCGGCATAGCCCTCGGCGTACCTGGCGGTTGATTTCTTGCCTGTTGCGTAGGTGGCGCCCAGCTGCACGTTGGTGTTCAGGAGGTAGTCCTTGATGCTATGCCAGGGGGTGGGCCAAAAGTCAGGGCTTCTGGAACAACAACAACAGACATGGTGGCATATGGATTTCTCAGTCTTGAGAGCGGGAGGCATACCGGTCTACTACGGTGGCCAGCGTCTGGCTTCCGCCGGCGTTGTCGAAGAAGACCTGGTCACCACTCAGTGCGGGGAAGCTGCCCCTCACTTCTGCCATGTTCAGTTTGGAGGCCATATTTTGATGTGAGGAGGGATCGCTGGCTCCTGGAGAGATATATATATAAGGTCTATATATGTATGAATGTGTGTCTAGTAGAGGACTCTTTGTGTGAAGAGAGACTTGGCTATATACACTTGCTGGAGATGACGAAGCCGAGGGAATGTGGGAGCTGCCTCTAAGCTAGTGTCTAGGTAGATTTAATCATGACGCCCTAAGGTAGTCAGTCAACATCAGATTAGAGGTGCTGTTTAGTCATGAATACGGCACCACCACCTTCCATATGGGTAGTAGACAGATATCTGTAGTCTGTACACTAGTACGGGTAAAAGCGACGGCAGACATTGAGTCGCGACGAGAAGGCAGCACAACAGAAAGATAGACGACACAGTCGAGGGTGTGTAAAGATCACAGCCGGGCGGCTCTCACTGCAGATGTCGTTGGCTCTTTACATAGGAGTGGTGTCAAAGTCAGATACACAGCTGCAATGGAGGCACTGCAAGCTGAAGAGGTCTCCTTGGCTCCCTGACAGACAGTAGGACAGCCTGTTGTTGGTCAGACGTAGCGCCGGCGTCAAAGACGACGATTGGACTCATTGGAGATATATTGCATGGATTGATATACATAGTAGGTACTGTACTATCGTCCACTCTCGTTACCATTCGAGGTTTGTTTCAATGCCGTGCATTTCCCGCCGTTGCCACTCATTCGGTAGTCTTCCTGCAGGTAAAGAGGCCGGGCGCCTGAGGAATCATGCGGGTTTGCTGAGGGACTGGAAGTCTGCATTGTGGTGGACAAAGTTACCTTCTGGCTGGCGATGAGCGACGGCCAATTGACGCTGCAGGTGTCTTTCTGGGGGTGTCTGTCCTTCTTTGCGGCTTGTACACTTGTAAGCATAAAAAAGTGCAGCAGACATAAAATAAAAATTATAAAAAAAAAGTCGTCCCACCCATTTCTCGAACCACACTCTCTCCCCCCCTCGTCAGTCGACTTCCACCTCTGACACCCATTGCACACCCAATTCTCCCCAGGACTGCCCAAGAACCACCGAATTGGTTCACTAAAAATGAAAAGAAAGGCAGAACAGCCTGTAGAGGGCAGGAAGCCCGCCCTCAAGAAGAGGTCCAAGCCAGGTTTGTTTCCTCCTCGAGCGCCCAAGACAGCCAACAAGGTTACGTAGAGGCAAAGACTAGACCAGACTCTAACATTTCCCCAGCACTCACAGAAGCCGACGCGAAGTCTCGCTTCAGGCCAGGCCTCTTCGACCAGCAGGTCCTCTCCAAATACACCTCGGACTACGCCACCTCGACCCCCTACAAGCACTCCGTCATCCACCAGCTGGTGTCCGACCCTCTCCTCCGCTCCGTCCGCGACGAGATCAAGGCCAACGTCTCCTTCACCCCGAAGGAGACCGACATCTACAAGATCCACCAGTCCGGCGACCTCGCCAACCTCGACGGGCTCGACGACGCCGCCCTGCAGAAGCTCCCCTCCCTCCTGGCCCTGCGCGACGCCCTCTACTCCGAGACCTTCCGGAACTACGTCTCCGCCATCACGGACTGCGGACCCTTGTCGGGCCGCAAGACCGACATGGCCATCAACGTCTACACGCCCGGCTGCTACCTCCTCTGCCACGACGACGTCATCGGCTCCCGCAAGGTCTCCTACATCCTCTACCTGACCGACCCGGACACCCCCTGGCAGCCCACCTGGGGCGGCGCCCTGCGCCTGTACCCGGTGTCGGACCGAGTCAGCCACTCGGGCGAGGTGGCCAAGACCCCGTCCCCGGACTTCACAAAGGTCATCCCCCCGGCCTGGAACCAGCTCTCCTTCTTCGCCGTGCAGCCGGGCGAGAGCTTCCACGACGTCGAGGAGGTGTACCGCGCCGCCTCCAAGGCCGAGCTGGACTCGGACGGCGGCCGGATCCGCATGGCCATCAGCGGCTGGTTCCACATCCCGCAGCCGGGTGAGGAGGGCTACGTGGCCGGGGCCGAGGAGAAGGCCGCCGCCAGGAGCGGGCTGATGCAGCTGCAGGGCAACCCGGACCAGTACGACCGGCCCGAGGCGAGGGCCGTGCCCGTGCCCGCGGCCGACAGGATGGAGACGCGGGAGGCGGAGGAGATGCTCAGTGCCGAGGACATGGACTTCCTGCTCCGGTATCTGGCGCCGACGTACCTGACGCCCGACACGCTGGAGAGGGTGTCGGACCACTTTGACGAGAACTTTAGCATCACGCTGCCGGGGATACTGCACCCGCGGTTCGCGGAGAGGCTCCGGGGTTATGTCGAGGAGAGGGAAAGGGAGGGCCTGCCGGAGGACAGCGGGGAGATTGAGAAGGGGGGGCCGTGGAAGGTGGCTAGGCCGCCGCATAAGCACCGGTTCTTGTACATGCGGCCCGGAGACGAGAAGGAGGAGAGTCCGATCAGGGAGCTGCTCGAGGTGCTGCTGCCGAGTCGGCAGTTTAGGGCCTGGCTGCAGCTGGCGACTAAGAGTGTGGTTGAGAGCCATGACTTTGTGGCTAGGCGGTTCAGGAGGGGGAGGGACTATACGCTTGCTACGGGCCATGAGGGGAAGCCTAGGCTGGAGATGAATATTGGGTTTACGCCTACGGGGGGTTGGGGGGATGTTGATGAGGAGGAGGATGAGGATGACGAGGAAAGTGAGGCGGAGAGTGAGGCGAGTACGATTGATGGGTCGTCGGGCGCCAAGGTTGTTGCTGCAAAAGGGAAGGGGAAGGGGAAGGGCAAGGCGAATGGTTCCGAGGCTAATGGTAAGGGCAAGGAGAAGGAGGGCGGAAAAGATGCGGAGAGGGGCGTAAATGGAGATAGGAAAGACGGAGAAGAGGAGGAGGAAGAGGATGTCGAAGTAGGCGGCCACGAAGTGTACATGGCCGGCGACGGCGACGAGGACGAGGACGCGGCGGTGTACAAGAGCAGCAACGAGGAGGACAACATCCTGTTCTTCCAGGCGGCGGCGTGGAACAAGATGACGCTGGTGCTGCGCGACAGCGGCACGCTGCGGTTCGTCAAGTATGTCAGCCGCAGCGCCAAGGGAGACAGGTGGGACATCAGCGGCACGTTTGAGATCGAGGAGCAGGACGAGGAGCCGGACGAGGATGAGGTTGTGGGGGTGCAGGATGACACTGAGGAGGAGTTTAAGGGGTTCTCGGATAGCGAGGAGAGTGAGAGCGATTAGACGGTGTGGGATGCGAAGGAAAGTACCTGGCATAGAATGGATGATACCATGGACAATGTTGGACATGACACGAGAATTAAACATAACAAGTATGACTCGAGTGATACCTGTGAAGCTGTGGGCCGGAGTAGGGTGGCTTCGTGCCCTCTTGTTCCCACAAAGGGCCTGGTCTCGGTCCACGAAGTAAAATAACGCAGTGACTCCTCCAACAATCACCCAGCTGCGTGGCGCAGTGGAAGCGCGGTAAGTCTCTGAAACTCACTTGTGATAGACTCGAATCATGAACTGACTCTCTCTCCTCAGCCGGGCTCATAACCCGGAGGTCCTCCGATCGAAACGGAGCGCAGCTACTTCTTTTTGTCTTTTTGTTCTCTTTATATCTATCTCACTTTGCCAAAGCTGTGTGCCATTATATCACATCTCTTGTAGACCTAATACCAATCAATCCTATTAGACCTACATGATTTGACCCTGTACAAGGTTAGTTGGCATGCTTGTGAACTGAACAGGCGATGTACAATTCTTGAATCTGATTTGTGAAATGCATAATAATAGTACTTGAGTGGATACGGTGTCGTGGTATTCGACTAACCATTCCTGGCTTAGCGTTGATTGAGGGTCGACAAGGAGAACTCGAGTCCAAAAAATTCCAGAGCCAAATCTGCAGTTATCGTGCGACCCGCGAACCTCAATACAGTACAAGATAGACTCTACATCCCATACACAGGACAACACACCATCTTCCAACTTCTCTGCACCACCTCATCCTTGCTTTCCACCTCTCCTCATACTATCTCACATCCGATCCACTCAATACCACTCAACATGTATGTCAAACTGCTACTCTCAGGTCTCCTCTGAGCAAAGAAGATCCCAGAGCAAGACTAACCACCTTATGATAAAACAGGCAGTCCATCCGTCGTGTCGCACTGCGCTCCGTCGCCTCGGCGGCTCGCTCTGCCGCTCCCAAGGCCCCCTCCAGCCAGTTCGCCGGCCAATTCGTCGCCAAGAACGTCGTCAAGCCTTCAGCCGTGTCGTTTGCGCGGTACTTCTCCCAGTCCGTCCGCAGGATGAACGAGAGCGAGAGCAGCAATGTCGAGTCGCAAATAAGAGAGCAGGCCCAAGGTGAGAAAGCCACTATCGTTTTCGGCAGATGTCGAAGGTAGCTAGATAGGAGGTCCCCTAACACAAACCTCGCAGACTCGATCGAAACCTCGACACAGCAGCAGCCAAAGTCGGACCCGCCTCACGGCATCTGGGTGCGCAACTTTGTGTTCGATGTCAACGAGGACCACCTTAAGGAGTTGTTTGGCAAGTTCGGCACCGTCGTTGACGCTCGTATCGTCCGCGACCCCCGGGGACTTAGCAGAGGGTATGTCTTCACCAAATTTGCTACAGCAGGCATTGTGGTCCCTTCTCTCTCTCCCAGCAACCGGCAACTCCTAGAAATCAGTGTGGTTGGCTAATCGCTGTTCTTCCCGTGCTCTAGATTCGGCTTCGTCTACATGAGCTCCGACAATGAGGTCAGCAACGCCATCGCGGAGCTCAACGGGTCCTTCTGGCACGGCCGGCGCGTGCACATGGAGAAGCAGACGGGCGAGCGCAAGAGCCGGGTCAACCCGACGAGGCGGGCCGACATGCCGGCCGAGCCGACCAAGTACCTGTACATCGGCAACATCCCCTACGAGGCCACGGACGCCGAGCTGAACAAGATGTTCCGCGGCCTGGAGAACCTGGAGGACGTCCGCGTGGCCGTCGACCGGGTCACGGGGTTTCCGAGGGGATTCGCCCACGCCGACTTTACGGATGTCGAGGCTGCTAAGAAGGCGTTTGAGAAGCTGTCTGGGTTCGAGATGGGGGGCCGCCCGCTGCGGGTTGATTATGCTGGCAACGCTGTGCAGACGAGGAAGCCCAGGACTGGTGGCCGGAGGGAGTAGAGTCTTGTACACGGGGACGCAGACCGAAGGAAGGAGAAGGTTGATACCACGGTGCTCTGACCGTGGACCGTGAACTGTGTTTCGGGGCGTCATCAACCAAGGGATTGTGGCCTGCCACCGGCTCGAGCCTGGTGCGGGTTGAGCATGTCTAACGCAACTGTGGACGGTTTGAGGGTCTTGAGGGCAGAGACTGTTTGCTTCGAGAGGCTGTATTTCGAACCATCATAATCTTGTGAGGGAGAAAATACCCCTGTTGTGCGTCGTCACTGTCATGGACCGGACTGGGGCTGCATGTACAGTAGGGAGTCATTTGGAATGGTCTTGGATGATCACGGCGGGTGTAAACATCTCGTGTGTAGGATATGAAGTGCTGCTGTACAATTAAAACTATATATAACGATCTCACTTCAACGGCTGGCTGTACTGTGTTGTGTGCATTCCTCTCATATAGCTAGAGAGATGTCCACTCGATCATCTTCTTGGATGTACCACAGTAGACACCCAGACTTGAATCTCTAAGTGAAGGACACCTCCTTGGTACCTCTTTGGTATCTCTACTCACTGCATAGTAGTACACGTGAAGGTACATGGCATGGTAGTACGTACCGCAGAACCGGGGAACGGGTCCGGGCCACATGCGCCGGCAAAAGGTGGAGTCCGGGGTTGCAATTCCCCAGCTGCCTCGGCACAACCGGGTTTGGGCCACTACCATAGTCGAGTCATTAGCAATAGCCAGGCACAGCACCTCCAGCAACTCCAATGTGGCGGCGTCCAAATGGCCGAAAGACCCCTCCAATAAATAATACATTATATTACATTACAGAGCATCCAACATTCAGGCCTCAAATCCAAACAAAATACAAACGGAAATAAACAACACTATAACAGACAACAGTCATCTTCACCGGCCGTCAAGACGCCTCTCTCTCTGCCTCTCTCTCTCTCTACCGCATTCTGCGCCTGTCACCGGTCAGCAAACTGAACATAATACCTGTCGAGACAGACATACATACGAACAGACTATCAGTCCTACCCGTCGACCTTCCTTGCCGTCCAACAGTGTGCTGCTGGCCACAGACACAGACACAACACAGACACTACACTAGCCACCATGTCCTTCCTCGGGGGCGCCGAGTGCTCCACGGCCGGCAACCCGCTCAGCCAGTTCACCAAACACGTCCAGGATGACAAGAGCCTCCAACGAGACCGCCTCGTCAACCGCGGGCCGAATGCTGGCTTCAACGGCTTCAGGAACGCCGGCATGAACTCACCACAACAGGACGAGGTATGCTTGCCTCTTGCTTTCTTCTTGTTGTCTTCTTTTCGCCTGTGTACATTGTACTAACCTGTCGCAACCAGATGGTCAACAACTTCCTCAACCAAACCCCTACCCTCCCCGACATGCCCCTCGAGCACGCCCAGACACCCTTCCAGTTCGTCCGCCCAGACCCGGCCGGCCAAGGCGTGCACCTGCGCGCCCAGTCCGCCTCCCCGACCTGGGCCGAGTCCAGCCAGACGCCCATGGAGGCCGCCTTCAACGCCCCGCCCGGCACGCACTTCAGCGCCGACGAGTTCGCCCGCTTCCGCCAGATGAACGGCTCCGCCTCCTCCGCCCGCGCGAGCCCCATGCCCTCCCAGTCGCACCAGCAACCACCCCAACTACAACACACGCCGATGATGGGCATGACCGGCTACGGCATGATGGGCCGCTCCGCCTTCCAGCCCATGTACGGCGGCCAGCAGTCCTACACCCCGCAGCAGCAGCGGCAGCAGGCGCCCGCCGACCTCAAGGGCAAAGGTAAAGTGGTCGAGCTGGACGACCACCAGTGGGAGGAGCAGTTCGCCCAGATCGAGCTGCAGGACAAGGCCGAGCAGCAGCAGGACGAGAACCTGGCCGCCGAGCCCGAGCTCAACGCCATGGACGAGGCCCACCTGCACTCCGAGACCGGCATGGGCGACCTCGAGTCCATCTGGCGCGGCATCCAGGCCGAGCAGGCCGCCCTCCGCGACCTCGACCAGGAAGAAGAGTTCACAAAGTTCGACGCCGACACCTTCTCCAACCTCGGCGCCGGCTGGAACTCCCGCGTCGGGCCGGACCCGGCAGTGGAGGAGTACCTCTTCGAGTCCGACAACCTGTTCGCCTCCCAGCCGGACCCCTTCGAGGAAGGCCTCCGCATAATGTCCTCGGGCGGCAACCTGAGCCTGGCCGCCCTCGCCTTCGAGGCCGCCGTGCAGAAGGACCCCTCCCACGTCGAGGCCTGGGTCCACCTCGGCAGCGCCCAGGCCCAGAACGAGAAGGAAGAAGCCGCCATCCGCGCCCTGGAGCACGCCATGAAGCTCGACCCCAACAACCTCTCTGCCCTGATGGGGCTGGCCGTGTCCTACACCAACGAAGGGTACGACAGCACCGCCTACCGCACCCTCGAGCGCTGGCTCTCGGTCAAGTACCCCTCGGTCCTGTCGCCTGCCGACCTCAGCTCCGCCGCGGAGCTGGGCTTCACCGACCGCGAGCAGCTGCACGCCCGGGTCACCGAGCTCTTCATCCAGGCCGCCCAGCTGTCGCCCGACGGCGAGCACATGGACCCGGACGTCCAGGTGGGGCTGGGCGTGCTCTTCTACGGCGCCGAGGAGTACGACAAGGCCGTCGACTGCTTCACGGCCGCGCTGCACAGCTCGGAGCTGGGCGCGTCCAACCAGCGCGACCAGCTGCACCTCCTCTGGAACCGGCTGGGAGCCACCCTGGCCAACTCGGGCAGGAGCGAGGAGGCCATCGCCGCGTACGAGAAGGCGCTGAGCCTCAATCCGAATTTTGTCAGGGCCAGGTATAACCTGGGCGTGTCGTGTATCAACATAGGGTGCCATGCCGAGGCGGCCGGACACCTGCTGGCGGCGCTGGATATGCACAAGAGTGTCGAGAAGGAGGGGAGGGAGAGGGCGAGGGAGATACTGGGCGGGGCCGAGGGGGGGGTCACGGATGAGAGGCTGGAGGCTATGACGATGCAGAACCGGAGTACGACGCTTTATGATACGTTGCGGAGGGTGTTCTCGCAGATGGGGAGGCGGGATCTGGCGGAGCAGGTTGTTGTGGGTGTCGATCCGGATGTGTTTCGGGGCGAGTTTGATTTCTGACGGGGTCGGTAGGCGGGTCGGGGTGGTCGTTGTGGTGGATCGGGGTTTGGAGAGGGGAATGGTGTGGCATTTGAGGGGGACGGGGAGGAGGAGGAGGGCTGAGGAGTGATGCTAAGCTACTGGCTTGTGAGGCAGCGGCACATAGGGCTGGTATGGTCGGTGTGACAGACCGAGAGAGAGAAACAGAGACAGAGAGGAGGAGTATTCCCTGTACGTCTAGAGTCTAGGGTATATACCAGCGCTACCAACATAGGACAGCAGCGGGGGAAAATGATAACTTGGCA